GATTGTGAAAACATGAATAAATCAATTATCAATGGTTATCATCTTTATTCAAAAAATGCCTTCGTTGGATAAACAGTTTTTTTTGTTTCACGCTATTTAATAAATAAAAGTCGCAAGGATACACTTACTTACTTAGTTGAAAAAACCGAAAACACAGCACATTTGATTAACAAGCGCTAAATACTGAATGCAAAAACATCAAGATGATGATGATTTTCATCAAATTTCGAGCATATCAACAAATAGAGCAACAACTAATTTGATGCTCCAATTAGTTTGTTTTGGCCACCCTTAACCCACAGTTAGTCAGTTTAGTTTAGTTAAGTTTGATGATGTTAATAATAATATGAAAGTTTCTAATTTGTTTCGGAATTTTGTTTTTACAAAAACAAACAAAACAAAACACACCACACACAAGGCAAAGTGAGAAATTCTTTTTCTTGGATGAATTATAACACCATAATGATCATTATTTAAAATTTTACATTTGAATAGTTTATACAAACAAAAAAAGAATCAATCTTTTTTTCTTTTGTTCGATTCTATTAAAAACTAACAAGAAATAGATCTTCAAAGTGTCAGTGTGTGTGTGTGGTTAATAATAAAAGACGATGTGTGTGATCTGTTGTTTTTGTAAAGGGAAAACCAAAATTAAAATTAAATTTACAAGAAAAAAAATTTAAAATTGATTGTTTGTTGATCTTTTCTCAACAAAAAATCAGATCGGGTGTTTTAATTTTTGCGGGAATTTTCTCTCTTTTGTTTTTGTTTGTCTAAACTTTTTGGTTCAAAATCTCTTTTGATTATTATTATACATTATACATGATGTATTAACATCACTTTTACACACATATGTACAATATTGAAATTTCATTCAATTTCTAAATAAATAAAATCGTAAGAAATTTATCGACCACCAAAGTTGATAGAAAATTTTTCATTTAATGTTTTTGATTTTTGATATTGAAGCCAATTATGTTGTTGTTGTATATTTGATAATGATACCACACACGTGCAAACAACTAAACCAAACCAAATCAACCAAACATTATTTTCTGTTATACGATCCAAATGCAAAAAAAAATTGTAAATGAAATTCATATATAGAATCCAATGGGGAAAAAATTTCTGTTTCAAAAATACCGAAAACTGAATCAAACACATATGACATGTGTGTATTTGTTATGAAATTTTTGTGAAAATAGCCGACAAGTGTTTATCATTTGTAAAAAATTCATTTGCTTGCTCGTTTTTTTTTCGTAATCATTTTTATAAACCATAACCGAAAAAAAAACAACAAAATTCTAATCGTAATTTTTACAACAACAACCTATGTATGTTTTTTTGTGTTTTTTCTGTTGGTTAAATGTCCGGAAAATGAAAAATGAACCGAGTTAAAGTTGAAGAGGACACCACACTGCACAAATATATACAATCTTTTTTAGCTTAGCTCAAAAACGGAAAAACAACCGAAAAAAAATCGAAATGTGTTCAATTCATGTTGTGTTGTCTATGTGCCATACAAACATTAGACTCTATGGGTTCTTCTTCTTTTTTTCTTGCATATTAGTGATGTGTGTGTGTTTACACAAGTGTTCAAATTTCGAACCAATTCAAACAATGATGATGATAATGGTCTATTCGGTAATACTTGATGAAAATTTCATTCAAAAAATGAGACAAATAAATAAATATATGAATGGTAATGATAAGATAACCCTGTCAAGATGATGATTTAGGAAAAAAAATTATAACATTATTTTCATGTGTGCGGTTTGCCGAAAAATTATTGTATGTTTGACTGTGAATCATAGTTGAGTGAGGTTAGGTTGATGGTCATGACTATGATTCATAGTTGAGTGAGGTTAGGTTGATGACTATGGCTGTTATTCATAGTCAAGTGAGGTTAGGTTGATGACCATGACTATGACTATGATTCATAGTCAAGTGAGGTTAGGTTGATGACCATGACTATGACTGTGATTCATAGTCAAGTGAGGTTAGGTTGATGACTATGACTATGACTATAATTCATAGTCAAGTGAGGTTAGGTTATGATTTTTTTCTTTTTATTTTTTTGCGAAAATCTTTTATATTCATTCATTAATGAAAATATCCAAAAAATTAAAAAAAAAATTAAAAATTATCATTGATTGATTAATGATGATAAGATACATTCAAATCAAATTTTTTTCTTACAATTTCAAATATTATTGATTCAATCAAACAAATAACAACATTGACATAAACAGATTTTTTCTGAAAAATTATCAATATGATTAAGGAAAAAAATATATTCAGATTTGTGATTAGACCAAATCAACCAAGCAAGTTATCATTATCATCATACGATGTTTAACTTTAGAAGATAAATGTAATAAAATCATTTTCAAAAATTTTGAATGAATTTCTCTCAGCAAAAATGTATCGAAATTCTGCATTGCATAAGTATTCGAAAAAAATATGTCCATTTCAATTTTTCTTTGTCGGACGAAAAAAAATCAATCAGAATCAAATCTCGGGTTTTGCTCCATTCAGAAAAAAACAGCAAAAATTGATCCCGCCTCTCGATCTATTTTATCCAGGGTGTTTAGTGAATGTGAATGAATGAACACAACGTAATATGATGGCTAAATCATTACATTGAAGCGGTATTTGTGTATTTGTTATATGTCGACCCTAAACAAACGAAAAACACGAAATAAGATCCATCCCACACCACCAAACTAATGTAATCGGGGTAATGGCTTCAATTATTGCTTCTGCTCCGTGGTTACATTTCATTTTTCTCAATCATCATCATCATCATCATCATCATCTTGTAGCCCGAATAACAACATCATTTTCTGGTGGTCGCCGTCGTCGTTGGTGATCATTTTATCCATTTTTTTTTGAGAGCCGCCTAGAAAAAAAATCTGATACGTAATGTGAATATGCGTGGCTGCATTTCTCTCCAATTTATCTCTTTGCTATATGTGATGTTTTCTTTTTTCGTTCAGCAAAAAAATGTTCGTTATCAATTCATTTTTTGATTGAATAATAATTTTTGTTCATTGTATTGAGCGCATGTTCATTTGAAATGTAAGAAAAAAGGATGATCATTTTATCGTGTTTTACAGTGTTGTGAAATTGAAGCCAGTTTTTTCTTTCGTTTCACTTTAATTCATTTTATCTCCAAGAAATTTGATTTGATTTTCTTCATCGTTTCGTTTACATTTACATTTACCATTCTTCTAAAAAAATTGTGTATGTGATTATTATCATGGTTTTGATATATGTAAAAATATCGAATGATGATCAACAACCGAAAAACATCATCATCATATAGACACAATTGAAATGAATTAAAGATAACCATACCATACCACATATAAAATATATTTAACCAGCAAATAGCATCGCATATCATCATTATTTGATCAATGATCATATGGCGCAAATCTTCTTCTTCATCAACGTTGACGGCGGCTTCTTGTAACCAAAATAAATTCAATGAATGGATGGATGATTATAATTGCGTTGTGATAGTGGTGTTTTGATGATGATAATAATAATAAAGATGGTGGTGGTGGTGGTATTATGAATGAATATATCATGTGGTGGTAAATAAATATTTCTATGTTCATCAAAACACACATTGAAGTTGTTGTATGTGATATTCAAAACTGAAGCAAAAAAAAGAAGAAAAATAAAGGAGTGAAAGAGAGAAATATCAATATCCGTTCTCTTCAATGTTTCGAACAACATCATTTTTTCAAAATATTCCTCATCATTACATTGGAAATATATCTGTGCAGTGTGTATATATCAAATTGTATTTGTGTGAAATGAAATGATAATCAGCTGGTATATATCCGATTCTCTTGTTCGTTTATGTTTGTGTCAAATTTTTGCTGTGAAAATGTGTTTTGAAAAATTCAAATGTATTTCAAATAGTCAGTGATGATCACATAATAATAATATTTTCATGAAAATTGATCTCATTTTTCTCAAAAATTAAATTCAATCAAATATCCTAATAGAAGATAATGTGACCATTGATTAATTTGATTTCCGATTTGTTTTTATGTGTTGTGTATCATTATTTCTATATGGTGGTAATCATCAAATTACATTTTTTTAATTCAATGTTATTCCATGTCACATTATCGAATGATTTGAATAAGTTGTTTGTTGTAATCATCATGAGAATTAAGAAATAACTCAATTTAATTCCGTTTGATCTTTTGTTTCAATCAATCAACCAATCAAGCATCGTCTTTCATTACAAATTTTTGATCGAAATCGATTTCTTCAATTGAGATTTTGTTCAATTACTGATAAAAATTGTCAACATTTTTGTTAACAACGACTTTTGTTTGTGTTGTGTTGTTCTACCAAAAAAACACAAGTATAAAATGTATTCAAATTTCACAATTATCATTCAATGATGTTATTGATGATCAATAAATGATTATCACCACACATACACACATAAATTAATGTCAATAATTGAAATCGATAGTGTCAAAATATAGACACACACAATTATATGGGATTTACCAGAACCAACACCAAACATGTAAGATTATATTATATTGTCGTTATTGTGTAAAAAACATGTAAATATCATTCGGATGTTGATGATGATTATTTAGTCAGTTAGTTAGTTAATGTTTACAACATCATTTACATTTGTGAACAAAAATATCATATTTAAAGAAAAAACATCAAATTAATGATGATCAAAAGATTTTGATTTCCAAAATTCTTCAACGGATTTTATTCCTTATTGTTTTTTTCCATCGGGATTAAATTCAAGATTCTTTTCTTTTCTTTTCTTTTGATTTAATATCAGATTATCTTTCTTCTTCGTCTTGAGTGTATGATGATTTTGTTGGACATATGACGACAACGACAAATATCAATGTTTCATTACCATCATCGACAACAACAGCATTATCATTATCATCATCAATACATCCTGAACAACAACAATTTACAATCGGTTCATTATCATCAATGGCCGGTTTGGATCTAAGTGGTCATCATCATAATAATAATAATGGTACAATAAATCATCACCACCATCAACAGCATACATCATCAACAACAACAACAACAACAGCAACAATACCTCATCATCCAATCTCTTCATTATCACCCACAGCATCATTATCATCATTATCATCATCATCATCAAGATCTTCAAGATCTTCACCAACGACTAAACAAAATCAATTGAACGTATCATCATCAACAACATTGACCAACATTAGTGACCATACTAATACCGGTATAATCAATACATCACCATTGTCATCATTAAATTTTCACTCGACAGGAATAATTCCCGGATTAATTGCTGGACATCATAATCATCAACAACTAGAGCATCTTCATCAAAATTCATTATCATCAACAACAGCAGCCATGCCTAGTTCATTATCACCAACAACAATATTATTACCAACATTAGGTTTTACACAGGAACAGGTTGCCTGTGTTTGTGAAGTGTTACAACAATCTGGTAATATTGAACGTTTAGGTAGATTTTTATGGTCATTACCATCATGTGAACCATTACATAAAAATGAATCCATTTTAAAAGCTAAAGCATTGGTTGCATTCCATAGGTAAGTGACCCCTTTCATTTTTTCACAAACATCTACATCCACATTGTCCAAATCAAATCAGAAAAAAACCCAATCAAAAAGAAATAAAAAATCAAGATAACATTTATAAACATTTTTTCACATTCAATCTTTGTGTATTTCTGTCTTGTAACACTTTGATCCCTTATTTTTTCTGAATGAAAATGTTGTTGTTGCTGCTGTTGCTGCTGCAGATAATAATAAAAACGGGAAAAAATTTAGTGCGAAATTTGATTGAAATTTGAACTTTGTTATTTTCATTCGAGAATAAAGGAAAAAATCAACTAAATAATCATTATTTTAGTTAAACTTATCCAATTCTATATCAAACACACACACATAGAAAATCATTCTGAAAATGTTGTTGTTGTTGTATATTTCTTTTACTCTTTGATGGCCATAGTAATTGTTTGCATTTGTTTTAATAATAACAATATTTACATTGCATCTTTTCATTTGAAATTGTTGTGGTCTGTCGGCACTTTTATTTCAAGTTGTACGAAAAAATTCATATTTTTTTAACCGTTCGAATTTTTATCTCTCAAACAAACCATATTTATTCATTCATTCATTCAATCCATCCATTTTTTTGGTTGTTGTTGTTTTTTCGCTGGTTTCTTTACATTTGATCAATCAAGCCATGCGACCAACCAACCAATCTCATCAATAAATGTTTGTTTGCTGTAAACTTGTTTGATGTAAATTACTAAATGTGTTTTTATATGTTCTAGGCTGGCTGTTTGCAAAATTTTTTTTCTCTTGAAACAGCAAATGAACAGCATGAACAAACAAAAATTTCATTGACCAACATGGATCATTTAGGGTTTTGGCGGCTGATGCTTTTTATCCATGCAATTTTTGTTTTGTTTGATTTGTCTGGTTCGGGTAAAGACTTGAGATTGTTGAGATTCGTAATCGGCAAACACGTACGCGTGTACACCACCACACACGTTTATCATTTTCATTTTTTTCATTTCAAACTGAAGTAAATTTTACATTTTTTAAATCAAAATCATTTACAAAATCAAATCAAATGATCGATGATTGACAACAAAAAAAAAGCCTTAAAAAATTCATTCATTCAAACGATATTGATTCGATGATGATGTTTTCTTGCTAGTCAATCAAATTTATCACCATTGTTGATGATGATATGATAAACATACGAAATATACTATAGTGCACATTTTATCGAAAAATATTGATTTGTTTCCGATCAACAGATCATTGACAATTCTTGTTGTTCTGGTAATGTTTTGTATATGTGATGTTATGATGATGACAATCATCCAATGCAATCCAAAACACCATACAATTTTTTCGTTGTCATTCGAGATTCATCATAATCATCATGTTCGACCCCTTTTTTTACTCATTTTTTTGGTTGCCAGCATTTTTTTTGTGAGAAAATGCAATCGATATACGGCCGTGCTTTTTTGTTGTTGTTGAACAGCAAAAATTATCATCATCATCATCATCGACGATAATGATAATCAGACAAATTTTCTTCTTTGCTAAAAAGCCAAAATTGTTTTCCAGTCAGAAAAAATAGTCGGCATTTTCATATCATCATCATCATTGGAAAAAAATATCTCGGTTAATCATCGTTCGGTCGGGTTTTTTTTTCTTCATTTTGGCTGGTTGGTTTTTGGAAAAATGATTTTCATTCATTCAATTCAATTCTCACACACAGCAATAGATACAAGATTCAGATTCAATGTTTTTGTTTTTTTCTGGTTGTCTGGTATTTCATCGTTGTTGTTGTTGTTATAGTAAATCTCTCGGATATCATCTTCATTATCGTATCTCGGTGATAATTGTTTTTTGATTTTCATTGGCATTTCATTTTCACTCATATCAATCATAAATCGATTATATTTTGTATATGGAATTCTTTTTTAAATGAGAAAAAGTTTATAAATACTTCTGGTTTGTATGTATCACATGAATATCAACAAAAGAAACAAATAGCCGATCAAAACAATCAATGACAAAACAAAATGTTAAAAGAATAACCCTGAAGAACCGACATTGTTTTGATTATAAATTTCCGGTTTTTTATATGTGATGTTTGTTTGTTTTTTCTCAGATTCATTGGACCACCGCATTGATGATAATTTTTGTTTTCTAATTTTTCAATTTTTTTTCTTCGGTAAAAAATGATTTATTTTCAAACGATAATGATTGTTAATGAATCAATGATTAATGAATTGTAAATTTATTTTATTCCATTTTTTTCTTGAAAAAAATTCAAGAAACAAATGACAAATGATTTTTGTCATATCATTTTTTCCTCTTCAAAAAAGATTTATTTCTTTTTCTAATTTTGTTTACTCAAACAAACACACACAGAAGCATCATTTCTACGAAATAAGTTCTAATTACAATCTGATTACAGATTTTGTTTCTCTGGAGAGAGAGAGAGAGAGAGAGAGCGAAAAAAATTTCAAACATGAAATGAATTCCTTGTTAAATTTTTCTTTCTTGAATCAATGATTAATTATCATCAAGTGTTAATATTATTTATTTATCCATACGATAAATGTATCGATCAGAAGAAACAAAAATTTCAACTTTTTATTATCAAATTCACACAAATTGAATTTATGATTCATTTTGTGCGATCTTGATTTGGATTTTTCACTTCAAAACAAATCGTTTTGCTGGTGATCATCATCGTTTTTTTCCACTTTAAACAACCAAAATGATAATTAATAAAAATATCGTTAATTATGAATATATAAAACGATAAACCATAATGATAAGATAATGTCAATGTGATTTTTTTTTGATTTCTGATTTTCTGATTTTGGCAAATGAATGATAATGATGACAAATATCTTTTTGGCTAGAACGAAATATATTTTTATTTCATTTTGGTCCCAAAAAAATGGCTTCAAGGGATGTATGATATACATTTGTGGACACAAACTCTTATCATTAGTTTCAAAAATTTTATATTTCATTTCGATCAAAAATTGATTATGATGAAATAAACATAACATTTTTTCTCAAATATTTGACTATGTGTTCACCATATGTAATCATCACATCGTATATATGTAATATAACAGTATATATAGTCGGTCTAAAACTAAAAAAAAATCCATTCCATTTGAATGTTTTTTTTTCATTTCACTCTTCAAAAAACATTTCATTTCAGTTTAGTTTTGGTTTTGGTTTTCCATCTGTTTTTTTTTAATTTTCATTGGTTTAAAAGATCCTTGTTGTTGTATATCTGCGGTGTGTGTGTGTATATATTATGAATACAAATCCAAAATAAAATGAAATGATTGAGTGATTAATCAATGCTCAATGATCATGATAATAATATACACTAGGACCTTTGACCTTTATTTTTTTGCTCTTCTCTTTTCAGATTCAGTTATCAACCACCATCATTACCACCACCGTTATAACCTTCGACCGACCCGATTCAATTCGATTCGACCATCATATCATATCGTACTATACACCACACCACTTAATAGCTTTTTGATATAGCTAGTCTTTTTTTTGAAAAAATAACAAAAATCTTTTGCATTTGCTCTCGAGATAATCTAGTACCCTAGATTTTTATCAGGGTTTTTTTGTTGTTGTTAATGTTTAATGTTGTTGTTTGATGATGATGTTCTTTAATGGGCCACATTTTGTTGAAAAAAGGATCATTCTTTATTCAAATTTATTCAATAATGATGATGATTATGATGAAAAAATTTGAAATTTACCTGATTGATTTCCAATCAAACAATGTTGTTCGTTTGCTGTTGTAAGGGAAAAAATTCCAAATGAATAATAAATTGTTTTAATGAGATAAATGAATATGAGAAAATGATGAACAACGGAAAAAACGTGTTAAATTCACAGACTAATCACGTTTTTGTTTTCATTATTATTTCTCTTTTACTTTTGGGTTATTATTCCATTCAATCATCATCATCAATCAACAAATGTTTCGTTTTTTACGTTTTTTTTCTATTCGCTATTTGCACATTGTTTATTCATTCAAGTAATTAATTATAAATCGATGATTTTGAATCAATTTATAAATTTTGAAGAGGATTTTCCCATTGTTTGTTTCTGGGAAAAAAATCTTCCCAGAAAGAAAAATGGAAATTGACCTCTGAATAAATTTTATATATTATTTACAACCAAAATAAAATAAACATTTACGTTATTCATCATTAAACACACTTGCAAAACGTATTTAGTTTTTTTCCAACAAAAAAAAATTGTTTTAAATATGAATAAATGATGATGATGATGATTGAACCCAAAATGAATGAACAAGATTCTTTTATTTTATCTTTTTTCCCTTGATTTGACTGAATGATTGTTATTGTTGTTGTTTGAAGATTTCTCTTTTGAAATTCAATACCCTTCTTCTTTTTTCTTTATCAATGCTTGTTTGTTTGATGATGATGATGATAAACAAACATAAACATTTTTGGTTTGGTTGGGTTTATGCCTCAAATAAGAATTTTCTACAAGGTTCTTCTTTTAACATTGATTCTATATTTAAAAATGAATAAAAGAATCGTCGTTTATTCGTGCATCCGTTGTTATAATGTGATGTTTTCGTTCAATCTCAGCAAACATTTTGCACAAGAAAGAATTCATGTTTGTTTTGTCCCAGAACAAACCAAACCATAACAAAATCCAAATAACCAAACAAACAACCAAAAAAGAACAATGGATCTTTGTTTTTTTTGACGATAAATTTAAGATTCAACTCATCATCATCCTACAAAAACTAATGGCTGTCGTTGTAATTATTTTAGTGGTTTTTTGAATATGAAAATCATCATTTTTTTTTCTTATTTGAAGTTTGCATTGATGCGAATTAAAAGAAAAAGAAAGTTTGTTTAAGTCAGCAGAAATAAATGAAAAAAAAACATTGAGAATTTATTATCGAATGGTGTTTCAAAAATGGAATATAATGTATCTTCTTTATCGAATCATTTTTTTGGTTTGGTTTATGTAAGGGAAAATATTTTTGATGACAACCAAAGAATTATGTGATGCTGATGCAAGAAAACAACAACAGCAATACATTTGTGTGTGATGAAAAACAAACAGAATTTTTTTTTTGTTTTTTTTGCTTGCTAAAAATGTTCAGAATTTGTTTTGGGCCTAGATAGTTGCTGTTGTCCATGTCTATCAACATCAATAACATTCGTTCTCTCTGTGTGTGTTAAAGTTGTTGTTGTTTGTCCAAATGGTACATTGTTTTTTTGCAAATACATCATCATCATCATTTTTGGCCACAATGTTTTTCTTTCTGTATTTTTCATCCAAATGTTCCATTTATTTTTGTCCGGAAAAATAAAATGTGAAAAGTGTGCGATCAAATTTCACTAGCTATTGCAGAAAAATCTAAATGCAAAAAAGATGAAATGAAATTTTCTTTTTTGCATTTTGGTTCTGTTGGTTTTCTTGTTTCACGATGATGATGATGATGACAATGATTTCAATTGTCATTTTTGTTTATTCAATAATCTTGATGGAATAAAATTTGGTTTTTGTTGCTAAAGAATTTTTTTTCAAAATTTTGATTTAATTTTGTTTTTTCATTGTTTTGCAGAGGAAATTTTAAGGAATTATATAAAATTCTTGAAAGTCATAATTATAGTCCTAATTCACATCCAAAATTACAATCATTATGGTTAAAAGCACATTATATTGAAGCTGAACGTGCACGTGGACGACCATTAGGTGCTGTTGGAAAATATCGTATACGAAGAAAATTTCCATTACCCAGAACAATATGGGATGGTGAAGAAACATCATATTGTTTTAAGGAAAAATCTCGTAATGTTTTACGGGAATGGTATTCACAGAATCCATATCCATCACCAAGAGAAAAACGTGATTTAGCTGAAGCTACCGGTTTAACTACAACACAAGGTAAATTTAATTAAAATTTTTGCTGATGTTAAATGAGCTTGACCATTCAATCATTTCATCATTTCATCATTCATTACAGTGAGCAATTGGTTTAAAAATCGTCGTCAACGTGATAGAGCAGCCGAAGCTAAAGATACGTAAGTTGTATGATTTGATTTTTTCTAATTTAGAAAATTCGTTCATGATTCTTTTGTTCAAATTCTTTTTTCAATCTTTTGTTGCCCAAAAAAAATTTAACCCATTCCAACATAGTAGAGATTCAAATGATAAACATAATAATATTCATGGAAAAAATTCTATTAAAGTTACGAATGATCATTCATCATCACATTCAGGTATAGGTGGTAATTCCAGTGATGATGATGATGATGATGATTGTGAGTTTGAAGAAGAGGGAAATTCTATACGTACTAATAGTAGTAATGAATTAAATACCACAAAAACAACATCGACGACAACAACAATCACAGCTAATCAAAATCAAATATCATCAACATTATTAAATCTGAACAATGGAACAAATCATGCTACATTATCACCATCGGAATCATCATCGTTATCAGCATTTTCTGCACTAGCCTCACATTTAAACAATACTATTGATAGTGGTGGTGGCAGTGTTAGTAGTAATGGTGGTGTTGGTATTACATCTTTAACCGGAACAGGAAATAATTTCAGTGCAAATTTAGTCTCAAGTCAATCAGCTTTATCGGCAGTTACATCAATGCAATCACATTCAGTTTCAATGGCTGGTTATCCCCATACAGCATTCCGTTTTGGTACGCATCATCCACATCCACATCATTCAACAACTCAAAGTCATTTTAGCCCACATCATCATCATCATCCATTACATCATGCAGCGGCTGCGGCAGCAGCTGCAGCAGCAGCAGCAACCGGATCTACTACTGTTGGACATCCTAATCATCATCATCATCATTTAGCTGATGTAGCACCATCCGCTCTAGTCATGCATCATCATCATGCAGCAGCAGCCGCAGCAGGTGCTGTATCAAATGCGGAAACAATGTTTCAATTAAGTTCCGTATTATCATCATCAGCAGCAGCTGCATCATTAGCAGCAAATCAATCGGCATTTGAAAATTATAGTAAATATGGTGCTGCTAGCATGGCGGCTGCTGTTGCAGCATTTAGCGGTGCTTCTCGACCACAATTTTAAATTGTTTGAAATTCCTTAATTTGAAATTCTTTTCTTTTTAATTTTCCTATACAACAACAACAAGACTTACTACTCATATTACTCATTCATTCATTAATTGATTTGACTAATTTTCAATTTTTTTTCAATTAAAACAAACGGATTTTTTCCAAATGAAAAATTCAATGATAAACAAATAAAACGGAAAAAAACAAAAACATTCCTCGTTCATTATAAATATATACACTGAACACTTTGAAAGATTCATTGATGATTTTGAATAAAAACACAAATGTATAAAAAACAACACAATATTTAGCCGAAATTAATAAACCACCATGATGAATCTTGATTGTACAGAAAAATAAATATTATCCAAAAGAAAAAAATCTAGAATTTCATCCCAATCACACAATTTTGAAATTGATAACATTTTCAAAAAATTAGATGTATTCCTTTTCCCATTTTTTTGTGTTTGTTTGCTACTTGTTTATAAATTACAAATGCGATTTGATTTTTTTTTTGCTTTTGTTTGTCCATCGATAATCATCAAATATTATCAATTTCGATTCGATTTGGTCGAAAATTGTATGAAAATAAAAAAATGAAAATCATTTTTTTGATAACCTTAAAATTTTCTTGGTTTTGTTTTCTGGGTCAGACCGAATAAAAAAAATCGATAAAATGGTTTAATTAGAGATTTGGATGATTGAAAAACTAAACTAAACAAACAAAAATTTGATTGACAATCGACAAAAGTGATGATGGTTAATTATACAGTTGTTGTCTATCAATCCACATTAAAAACATCAAGAATTACAACAAAAATACTGTATAATTTTCAGTTTGTTCTCCCTATACATTTCAATTTTCATTCAAACAAAAATAATTTTCATATCTAAAGGATCGTCAATGTTTTTGCTGCAAAAAAAACATTGTTTTCAAAATTCATTTTTTTCATTTTTTGATTGACGGCTTCAAAATAATAATAATAATAATGATGAAAAACAAATGTAGTGGTGATTTCTCGGTCAGCCTTGTTGTTTGATTGACATTGCAATAGAAAAACAAAAACAACAACAAAACGATTCGATGACAAGTAATTGTTATGGTGGTTTGTTTGATAATCATGATCATTCATTCATTATCATATTGATTATTTTTTTCCATGGTTTTATCAATAACATATTTAAGGCGGTATTGAATATCATCCATTATCATTATCATCATTGATTATGTGACCATTATTTGCCACACACATGCTTATAATAATAATGATGATAATGATAATGATGAGGGTAGATAGATTATAGGTGTTGTTGTTGTTATGCGCCAATGTTATATGTTATGTTTTTCATCGTTCAACAACAACAATAGCACTTATTCTGGGCCAATTATGTCAGTCAAAATCAATGAATGTTTGACACATGACTAAACATTGTTTAGCAATGATAATAGTGGTCAAGGTAGGTTTGTTGCTGATTTTTAAAAAAATTTTTTTTTGTTGTTGAAAAAAAGCCAGTAGCCATCATATAAATGCGAATTTGATGAGCACCCATTAGTAGTCTTCTAAATTATAATTACTATTCCTTGTCTTTTTTTGAAATTTGATTGAAATGGAGACATTGATTTTTGTTTGTTTGAAAATTAAACAAACAAACAATTGTAATCATTGATTTGTATTTATGATTTCCAACAAAAACCTAATATTCAAAAATGAATTGAATTTCCAGTTTTATTTTTCAGGTTTTTAATTTTTGATTAACATTTTTATTGCTTGGGCATGTGATTTTTTTCGTTTTTGAGAAAAAACCAAAAATTCATAAACATTAAAATGTATGAAGGCAGATAAAAAATATTCAATAAATCAAAAATAAATATTAAGGAAAAATTGAGATTCGCGATAAACGATTTGCACAAACAATTTTTTGTGAAGCAGAAAATCCACTATACTCTCATCTCATATTCATTCATATTTTTTTTTTTGCGAATCAACTTCCGAAGCTCGTCATATGTTTTTTTTCTTTTCTTCAAAAACTGATTTCGGTAATTCAAAAGAAATTGAATTTGAATCCTCTCTGTGTCTAGTATAGTATTAGTAATAAGCTTTAGTAATAACGATAAATGCCGTCGTGGTCAAAATATGAATGAATATTATCCATATTTTTATTGAATGACAGGTAACTTGTGCCATAATAAAATTAAAAAAAAACAACATCTTTACGAGAAAATCTTTTTCAAAAAAAAGATCATTCATTTTTCAATAATATTAATAATAATGCCAACAGTGGTGAAGAAGAATATTAGATTTTTATTTTTTTCAAACTTGCCACACGCAACGACCATGATCATCATCATATGATTATGTTTGATGATGATAATCATCAAACATTCGGCAATCTGTTTTTATCATTATATTTTAGTGGTGTTTGGAATGTGAAAAAGAAGAATTTTCATTTTCATTTTTTTCCTTAGCTTTCAATGATAGTATTACGAGAGAGAAAAATGAATCCATATTGAATCCAATTAATGAATTAGTGAAGTGAATGCAAAGGAATGTTGGTAAAAAACAAAATCAAGGACTTTTTCTATTATTCGATTGTCGTTTACCACACCTTGATCATATTTCCTGGCGGATTCTATTTTTTCGAAATGTTTTTTTCTTCTTTGTTCAACGCTTATTATTCATATTCATATTTTGCTTTCCTTATACTCCATGATGGTATCTTTGATAATCATTATGTGAATTATGTGAAATATTTTTAGCATTAAAAAGGCAATAAATAAATATCATTCAATCGACCCACCATATACGACGAGAGATTGACAGTTTATGAACAATGTCGTCAAGTTCATTCGAAGAATATTTTTTTACAACAAAAAAAAGTTATTTTTAACTGAGAAAAAAAATTTCAGGAGCAAAAAAATAAAATTCCGCATCTTTTTTTATCAGAATCGTTGCGATCAAATAAAATTTTTGTCATTTTAAAAAGCCCAATAAGGATGCATAATTATTTTTTGGCCATGTCGTTTATGATGATGATGATTGTCATATTGGCTTATTTTTCACATTTCTTATCATTTAAATCTAATTTGGTTAGCAATTGAATTATTCAACCAAAAAAAACAGCCATATTTTTTGTGATAAAAAACTAAAAATTTTTCACTTGCTAACCAAGTCTATCATTTTATCGTATACGGAAAATCTCGACGTCGATGATGACGAAAGAAAATATGAATTTTGGGAAAAAATTTGCATTCATAAAAAGAAAAATCTCTGTGTGTGTGTGGTGGAAGAATGAATGGATTTATTTTTTATCAAAAAAAATAAATTGAATGTGATCGATGTTTTTTTTGTTAAAAACAAAACTAGATCTTTGTTTTGATCTTTGATTATTGCTCCCAAAATAATGCCTTATTCATTTATTCATTCAATCGATCATAATCAACCGAAATTCGTGATTTATCGTTGTTGCTTTTTGATCTTGTACCGCGTCAGATCATCATCTTAAAGAAATCTTCCTCAAAAAAATTAAATTTAAAAAACCATTGGTTTGTTGTTTGTTTGGATTTTTATTTTCAAATTTTCCTATTTCACCAAAAAAACCGTAATCCATTTTAACCATTTTAGAAAAAAAATAAAATCATTTCAGGTGGCCTTTTTACACACACACTGTTTAGCTACATTCATCATTCGTTTATTTGGCAACCGAAACCGGGTATATAAAATATAATTTGTTTTTTGCTAATTAATTAATCTTTAACCACAAGAGTGAAAGCAACAAGACTCATGACATTTGTGTGTTTGAATCAAAGAAAGTATGAAAATTTTGCAACCAAATAAAAAACAAAACTTCAGTTGTTTTTTCATTCAATTTCGGATTGGGCAAAAAAATGAAATATTTTTTTTTCGAATGATGACCAATTTGGTCGAAATAGATAAATAGACAGGCCAATTTTCATTTGGAATTTTCTCTCTTTTTCACTCAATTACACAATTACGATTTGCAAGTTGTTTTTTTTCATTTCATTTCGTTTATGTGATGAGCTTCTGCCGCTTTTTTTGTTGTCGAGAGCAGAAATGATATACAGGATGAACCTTAAAAACAAAAACAAAAAAACGAAGGTGGCAAAGTTAATTTATTTTTCATTTTCTTTCTGGAGATATTTATTTCAAGTTTTTCTTCTTTCTTTCTTTTTCATCATCATCATTTATATGTGTAACCGAAAATGAATGTGACAAGATGAGTTATGATGATAGTCATTGATGATGATTATTATTATTCCTTGCTGTTATTATAATGATTATTGTTGTTGTTGGTGGTGGTGTGACGATTTCAGAAAAACATTTTGCTGTTGTTTTGGTCGTTTTTTGTTTGATGAATTTTGTTTGACCTATTCACTCATTGGCCATGAATTTCATATATGAAAAATTTCACCGACTGTTTCAATCTACCAATCAACCTAACCAACGTTATTGAATAAAAGTATTTAATTTGAATTGAATTGATGATCATGTTGAATAATAAAATGAATAAAAAGTGAATGCTGTATAATAATGATGTTTATATACGTGCTATAGCGATAACGACAACGTGTATATCATGACTTTTTGGTTAATTAATTACTTTTTTTCCATTTGTGAGAATATATGTCCGACAAACGAACAAACGGCAATTGAATGAATGAGATAGAAATGAAGAGAAAAAACTCTTTTCAAGTAAAGAATTGTAATTGTCGGGGTTTTTTCAAGTTAATTATAATCAAGTCAGTCAGTCTTGCAAACATAATGAATGATTATGAAACAAAACCAGAAAAAATATGCATTTGAATCATTATCATAGTTATCTCAATATACAAATGAAATTGTCAAGTTCATGAACAAGAAACAAACAACGCTGTACAATCATTGTCTATTCATTATTATTATATAATAATTTAATTGATATTCGTAGGTGTGTTTTATTCAACAAAGCTAGAAATGAATGAATAAATGAATCAAATACAAAATTAGATCCTATATATTTGTTTTTTTGGTAAACAGAGAAAACCCTTATCACTTCTTATGATCATTATTTACAATTTTATTTCTGTTCATTGAAAATACAATATGGATATCGAATTTGATTTTCGAA